TGCTGTTGCACTTGTTGTCGCTGTACTTGTTGCACTTGTTGTTGCTGAACCTGCTGCTGTTGTTGAGCTTGTTGCTGCTGCTGTTGCTGCTGCTGTTGCTGTTGTTGTTGTGCTTGTTGAGCAGCAGCTTGTGCAGCTTGCCTTTGTTGTTGTCGAAGTATACTTGGAGGGGGATCCATGTGTTGGCGTTGATGTAGTAATAAATGATTTTTCTGATAGAAAGCTTTGCCACATTTATCGCACACGTGTGACCTTATGTGGCAGCTACCATCTGTGTGGCGCCGTTGATGTTGAGACAAACCATGCTTCTGCGCGAAACCACGACCGCAATCGGGACAAATGTGTGGTTTTGGTTTCGGACCTGTTCCTACAGGTGGTGATGTTTGCGTCGCACCATGCATATGGCTGACACCAGGGTTTCCAATGGGTCCATTCATCTGTAAATTCTCTGATTGCAATACACGTTTTATTTATTAAGGAACTATAAGTAGTACCTGATGAGTTCCAGGGGTATTAGGTGTGAGGAAGTGTCCAGGAGTTTGTTGGAAGGCAGCTGCTAATCCACAGAGATCCGTAACAAGTGTACGATCACCAGAATGTAACCTTAAGTGCAAAGTAAGAGCTTCTCGATTCGAGAAGTCCAATCCACATTCCCTATAACATTATAGTTAACTTAAACAGATGATATATATTTCAATACTATACACAAATATATACTTAAATTGTATATTATGAAAAGGAAATATGTAAATTGAAATTATTTTTTACCTGCACATAAGGGATTTTTCATCTGTGTTCGTATTATTGTTATGTATCTTTGAATGGGCAACCAGGTCTGTTTTCCGAGGAAATGCTTCACCACAAACGGTACAAGCAAATGGAGTTTCTCCTGTATGTAAACGCATATGTGCCAATAGTGTTCTCTTTTGAAGAAATTCTTTCCCACAAACAGTACACGAATGTGGAACTCTGCCATGTAGACGACCATGATTCACTAATTCAAACTTTCTCTGGAAGGTTGCACCACAATCGTGACAAACAAATGGATGTAAACTGCCATGGAAGCGCGAATGCATTGTAAGGTGATCTTTTTGAGAAAATGATTCTCCACATTCTTCGCAAACAAAAGGTCTCTCTCCTGAGTGGAATTTACTATGTGTCACTAAATGACGTTTTAGGGGAAATGCTCTTCCACACTCTTGACAAACAAATGGTCGTTCTCTTGTGTGTACTCGCGTGTGCGTTACAAGGTGGTGTTTCAGTGTAAAAGACTTTTTACATTCTCTGCATTGGTATGGTCGGTCCGCACTATGAAGTAGCAAGTGTGTATGAAGACAATGTTTGTGTGCAAAACTTTTACCACAATGAACACAAACATGAGGTCGTTCCCCCGTATGTACTCTTGCATGTGTTGTAAGGTGATGTTTGAGAAGAAATGACTTCCCACATTCTGAACAAGAATATGGTCTTTCTTTTGGTACTCGAACCTGACTCCCCATATCTTGTTGTTGTTTGACCTTTGTTTCAATTTGAGTTGTATTAACATGTGTTAAAACATGTCCAAAATGAGCTGTGCTGTCTGTTTGGCTTGTTGCCACATTGTTTACATTGGCTTGATTTGAAGCAGCAGCTGCTCTTTTCATTAAAATTTCATTGCACTCTTCTGCTGTGAGTTGTAGTGGTCCAAGAGGTGTCATGAAATGCTTACTCATGGCGTGTTTATCGGCTGTAGTAAAAACTAAAGTGTTCGAGAAAAGAGAAGGTGGAGGTGTTGGATGTGCTGCGTCACAATTGCAACCTCCCTTGTCACATGTTAATGAAAATACATCATGATGCTTCTTGATACGAACATGTGTGCCATGTGTTTGATTATGAGCTCCAGCTGTATGATGCGTTGTTGGGGTTTGCTGACAAGTTTCATTCATCGTGAACATGGGCCTACGATGCGTACTATTGGCAACTTTCGCGGGTTTAATATCAACCTGTATCTTTTGACTGGATCCTTGGTCCTGATTATTATTCACAGCATAACTAATATTTGTAGTAAGTTCACCCTGTGCATTTTCTCGGGTTTCTGTTCCAGGTCCGCCAAAGGACCAGGCATACCCAAATCCTGTGCCCACATTGCCAGGAGTGGTGCACATGTTTGACAGAGGGGTAACGGAGGGGGTGGGCTGGCTGGACGCACTGCTCGTTGGCCCCTCCGTCTCTGTCAACGTATTATCTGCACCATTTCTTTCCACTACAACAAATTGGTCGGCGGGAAATATTTTGAAAGGTTCTAAGTAAACGTACTCGTCACACTCCAGTATCTCGGCTGTGAATTTCAAAATTGGAAATCATATCTGCCTAAAACGGCTCTAAGGTACAATAGTATTTAAACTCTCAATATTGATAGAGAGCTGTAGGTAATCAGGATACATAAAATGAATATTGCAAGGTGGTCAACACCATGCACTTCTTATCATTTGTGACATAAAGTGTAACAAATGTGTAGTGTGTTCCCAAGTGTTATTTTGTCAGACTTAGGAACACACAGTGTTTTGGAGGTAAGACGAGAGTGTCTGAAGAATTGGAGCAGGCGGCAGAGGGGGCCTGTGCGCTGTAAACCAGGTTTCGTAAATCTAGAGCCGTTCTCGTACAGTTGTCACCGCGCCACCGCGCGCCAATGGAAAAAAATACAGTGGTCGGTTGACTTTTCAATGTATTAGAGTTCGTAAGTGATTCTTCGTTTCGGTCTTCAGGCCCGCGGCGTCCACGGGTCTTGAAAGACAACCTCCACCTTCTTCTCACGGCACTCCCACACGTTCACTTACACTTCACCTTCTTTTCTCGTATTTCGCGGCACTGAACCTATATTTTGACATACATACACAAGCGGCCGATGGTCATTAATTTTACAGAATTGCATATTTTATTGTCCATACAAAATAGCCTCATATATCGGCCATTTTATTTGTAAACTACCAAAAAACAATGCTGCCAATGCACGCGCGGTTTTGGAGGGAGCAAAGCTGGCAATAGCGTCATCGAGTACT